TGATTTTTTGCTGTTGATGTATTTCAGACGTCACCTATAAAACAGGACAGACTCGTAAAAACATGGTTAAAGTACAGCAGACTTTACACCTGCTCATGTCAGATCACTTACGAGCCAATTACCCCTCACCACATCCAAAATGATGATCTATTTGGATTTATGTTACTGGAGTTTATATAATAGTTTAGTTTATAAAAGAACCTCTCTGAGCCCAACATACTGTAAGCTCGCATATCACTGTGTAGAGATAACAAAACATTTCTGCACAATTATACACATATTTTGTTCATGTATGATTCGGTGAAACAGCAGTCTGCTCAGTACTAATTTGTATCGTGTTCAGTTAATGTGAAAGCCCAGTTTGTGGTGAAGGAAGTGGCGTTACCGGCTTCTTTTCTTCCTTCTTTAAAAAAAAAAAAAAAAAAGGTCAGAAGAACATAAGAACATTTCTGTATTTAAAGTAGAAAAACAGTTTACTTTATACTCTTTACACAAAAGATAGGATCTGTGAGGCTCCAGAACAACAAGGAAGTAAAGCTGATGTCAACAGAACACAAAGATTATACTCTCAAATTAAGAGTCAGGGCAGAATGAGACAGAGAGAAGTGTCGTGTTGCTGTGAAGCTGCGTTTCACACGAGAGTCAAGAAGCAGAGCTGCGCAGGAAAGCTTCTCGTCTCTTCCAGAGTGGTTTGTTGCCACGTTCGAGCGAGATGAGGCTAACCTCCTTCAGGCGACACTATATTTGCACTTTACTGCTTGCTCAGCTCAGCCCAGCTCATTCTCATGCCCCCCCCCCCCTCCTCTCCAGTTTACACTGCCCTTGATCCTCCCCCTCCAGCCCCCTCTGCCTCCCTCCTACCCCTGCCTCCCAGCCTTTTCATTGGCTGGTGGCCCCAGCTGTTCTCATCCTAATGGGATTCTCCTTTTTCCCGCGTGACATCATTACTTTTTTTTTTTCCCTCCCGTCGGCTCTGGTGCTGGAGGCGTGAGAAGGGGTGAGCGGGCTGCCGGGTGAAACAAGTGGAGGGACCACTGCTCACACAGAACAGTGACGTCCATGAGCCGTGTGTGTGTGTGTGTGAACTTCAATTCAGACGATGAAAAGACACAGAAAATCACAAATTGTGATGTCACAAAGACACAGTCGTCACCCTCAGTCAGTCAGCCAATCAGAAGACAAAACGCCTGCTCTTGTTAGAGGTCCAGAGAGAAGAGAGAAAAGCCTCCAGCTCTGATCAGCTTCCTGCATAAATAGTAAACGAACATCAATATTACGCTTTTCTAGTCTTAAAGATCACAAAAGTTGCACATTCACCACTGATGGAAACGACGCAACAATTTGGGGTTCAGTATCTTGCCGAGACACTTCAGCATGTGGACTGGAGGAGCCGGGGACGAACCATCGACCTTCTGATCAGTGGTCGACCCGCGTGTACCTCCTGAGCCACAGCCGGCCCAGTTGTAGAAGTGGAGCTTTAACCACGAGTGGGAAGTGTAGAGCAAACCTTAGCAGGGAGGTAACTATTGGTTTGCATCATATGTTCCAGCAGATGACAGAATCTGGACTGGAAACTCTATTCTGACGGAAACATCCATCAGTTTCCTGGAATAAGAGTTCAGAGGAACCTCGTGTATAATCCTCTGTAATCACAGTCATCTGCCTCTGAGCGTCTCCATCTTATCTGACATTTTATGACAACACAGTGACGGTCCTCATTTCGCTGGTTTTAAATCCCCGTAGTCGTCACTGTTGCTGCCGGTTGGTGCCAACTGTATTCTGGGATATTGGCTGTACAATGCAAATAAAAAACACAAGCAAAGTCATATCAATGATCATAGTCTTCATGGAGGACTTTTAACAATATAAACAAGCTCACAATCTGCACCATAAAAGAGGAGAAGAAGACTGGGAAAGAGGAAACGATGTAGGTTCTAGTGGTGAGGATGAGCTGCTCCTCTCTGACTGACAGTGAAATATTTGGATCACCTATGAGTGATTTCAGCATTGTTGACTGAAAACACCAACAGATCAATAAATCAGCTGATTAATGATCATAAAATATATTGTAAGTTGCAGCTGATGTTATAATATAATTAGTTACGTCTATAATGTGGACGATAGCAGCGGTGATGTCATGAGAAAGAGAGCAGTGGTCGAGCACATTAATCTCTGACCCCTGCAGGAGCGGTGTGCCGCGACCCGCGATGACCTTTGACCCCGAAGGTGACGTATGACATGATTGGGTGATTGGGTTCTGGGTCAGATCTTTTGTTGTCTGCGAAGGGGTTAACAGGGAGTCCATCAGAGGGGCGGGGCGGAGTCAGAGTGTCAAGCTAGACACTGGACAGCATATGGGCTCGTACCTTCCCACGCAGACACGGCTTTGTGGTTTGGACGCCGCTGACCCTGTTCCCATACGGACAATCTTGGTATCAAATCTTTTTAGAGAACAATGTGTGACATTAATCCAACGAACTGGGTGAGCAAATGGCGTGGGCGATGATCGCATATGCTAGAATTATTAGAGTGTGGCGTTCTTGACCCACTAAAACATGAAAGGCGGAAAAACATGTCACAGCTCTAAAGACAAAAACACATTAACTGGCTGTTTACTCGTGGCACTGCTGGTTTACTCTGTATCTCATATGATCACTTAGGTTCCTGGCTTCCAGTTTGGGTTCTTTGTTTCAGGTCCTCCCCCTCTCTCCCTTTGTTCGCCGTCCGTCTAGTGGTGAAACAATTAGCCGATTAATTTAATTTCAGGAAATTGAAAATCGGCCATCGTCTAAACCAGTATTCAAGCACAAATCCCATAATTCACTGCTTCCTGTTTCCTCATGTGAGATTTTACCTGGTTTTCTTTCTGTTACGTTGAATATCTTTGATGGTTGGAAACAAAATAATCTGAGACGTCTTCTGAGTTCTGGGTAATTATAACTGCCATTTTATTTTTTGTATTTTCAGCATCATGCGGATATAATAATGACAAGACCCTGAGAGTTTCCTTTAATGGGAAATGATAATAGATACAATAAATACATAATTATTTAGAAATAGTCTTTCGCTTTCTACTTGGAAACACACTTAGTTGTTTTCAAGTTCAGGCTTTGAAATCAGCAGCAGCTCTAAATGTTTCATTCCATGTTCATTTTGTCCAAAACAGTGCAGCGGTCCACATATTTTAGAGATTAATATGTATGAAAAGGGATTACCACTCCGATGCCCAAAAATCTGAATAAAAACAAAAGCACAAAGATAAAATCTGAGTAATCACTGTTTTCATTACAATGGGTTTTGAGTATTTATGTTTAATTCACTTGTGATCAATCGAATCCTCCCGTGCTCTCCTCCCTCAGATCCCGTGGTCTCGATTCTTGACATAATAGGCTTTATATTTGCCTCGTTGTGATCATTATAAAAGCATTTTGTCTGAAATATCAACAGCAAAAATCATGTTTATGAGCTAATTTTATTCAATTAGGAAAAGTCATGAATCATTTATGTGATTAACAAAAGCCAGAGTCTCCAGGACCCCAAACACAACATTAGGGTTATATTGTCTTCCTGACTAACTGATGACGGTTTGGTCTAAACAGTGTCAAAATAACGTGGAAATGCCCTTCACAGCTTTTTAAATCACCTTCACGTTGCTTGTTTGGTCGAACCAACTGTCCAACATCAAAATAATATTCAGTTTACTGTCACATGAGACAAAGCAGAGGAACAAGTCCTCAGGCTGAAAGTAGTTAGTTGTTGGCATTAATGCTTAAAGAATGGATTAGTTGCAATTGACTTTCTTTTTGTAGTTTGTAAAATAAAATATGTGTCAGGGTTAGAGGGACAGTAGGTGTGAACAGTTCAGTGCTGTAGGACAGCAGAGTCTCTGGAGGGACTGAAATAACAAAAGTTTTTTTTCTTCTGTTGTAATTTTTATCACCGACGCTCTGATGTCATAGTAACTATGACATAACTAAGTTAGACAAAATAAAAGGTCTGGTTTTGGGGAATCAGACTTTTCAGGTTCCATGTGGTGAATGTTTCATGAGCCGGGAGCAGACGTGTCGGCAGCATCTTCAGCGTATGAAGCATAAGGCAGTCTGACAGTCACAGCAGTGCTTTGCAAACATTATCACAGGACTAAAGCCCGTCTAACCCCCCCCCGTCTCCCCCCCTCTCTACAGTCGCCCTGACCAGTCGAAACGGTGTGACTCCGCCCAGTGCAAATGATGACGACAGTAAAACAGAGGTGGAGGCCAAGATCCCTGAGGGTGAACTCCTGCTGCAGGTCAGTGTTCAAACTGCATCTGTTGTTATTTCTGCTCCACCCACAGTCGTCTGTTCTGTGTCATCTATTTAATTCCTTTTTCAATTCAATATCTGAGATTGTTTGTTGCTATAACTACGTTTGTTATGCTATTGAAGGCCAGTGTCTGTGGATGGGCAACGGCACCGATTTAATTTGTGAGTCTGGACCGCCCATGTTTTATTTTCTTTTTTTTCTTTTTTTTTTTTTCTTCTTCCTGATAAGTGCCCAAAATCTATTTAGGCCAATGACAGGGGCTCAGAGGCTCAGGGCGGCTTACCACTCAATACGTCTGGCACTGTCTGCTGTGCCCTCATGAAACATTAGTGCACTGTTCAGTCACACCAGTCTGCTGCTGGATTCGACTTGTGCCCGGGACTCATCATATCATCATCTGTGAATATGGATTCATTTGAACGGATATTTCAGGGATGATTTGACCCGACTTCGGCCTATTACTCCTCAAATTATCGTCATTGTCATCCTGAAGGAAATTTCAGGGGTTTTGCTTTTACAACCCGAGTCATCTTCATGGAGCTTTGGCCATTTGTCAGTTTCGATCACATTTAAAGGAATAGTTTGACATTTTAGAAACTATGATATTCACTTCTTGATGAGTGAATTGATACCATTTTCCCGTATGGTAAAATATGAAGCTAATAGGTTAGCTTAGCGATGCAGAACAGCTAGCTTGGCTCCGTCCGACGCTAACAGATAATGCCTCAGTGTCAGATCCACTTACATCGTCTCACTCACTGACTCGAGTCGCAGTGATTGGCTGCGTAGCGTCATGTGATCAGTGCCATAAAGGCTAGAGAAGCTGCGTCGATCGAATAATGGTCAATAATATATAGTTTATACATCTGGGTCCACAGCTTCGCCGTTCAGTAACCTCTGCAGTGGATAAATGCTTCCACTGTGCAGTGACGGTGAATAAAGTGACTTGAAGTCCACAATAAGCAGAGCTAACGGAGCCAGTGAAGTAGAGCAAAAACAGAGCGAGAGCATCAACACCCCCCCCCCCCCCCCGCCCCCCCTCCCCGCCCCCGGAACCTCTGGACATTTTACCGAATTTCAGGTCACTGTTCTGCGTTTTAAGAAAAGGCGATCGATGGACCTGTTTTCCATTCCAGTGGAAAGGGAAAAAACAAAAAAAAAAAAACCCAACCTCTCGTGGTTCACGGGGGTTCTGTGCCCTCTGTTCTGTATGTGTGATTGAGTAGAGGGCGAGCTCGCCGGCTGCCAGATCTTTTTGGGATCTGCTGGAGTCATTGATTTTCCAGTCCAGTTCCTCCCAATGTGCATCACACTGGCATTCCAGGAGAGGAGAGGAAGCAGCCGTTCCCCCGACCCGAGCAGGGAGGTTTTCGTTCTTATGATAAGCCCCACGTTTCCCCAGCTTGTTGGTAATGAGAAATGAAAGCTCATTTGGAGAAACAGACTCAGTCAGGAGGTGAGTGTTCCACAGGGGGTCTCTTCCTCCTCTTCCTCCTCCTCCTCTTCCTCCTCCTCCTCCTCCTCCTCCTCAGGATGAAAGGGGGAGATGGACAGCGAGCCGTCCACGGACACAGGTTTATTTCTGAACCCCTCGAGTCTGAGCCGGTTTCTTCGCCGTTCTTCGCATCAGACAGTCGTGAATTATAGAAGAGCAGTGAACGTTTCAATTATTCAGGCTGAAAATGGAGGAAACGTGGCGAAATGTTTTAATTGTGTTGTCACTTCTTTAGTCATTATTCAACAATAAACACACAGAACCGGTCGTTGTTGACAACAGACGACAACCTGCTCTCTCTCTCTCTCTCTCTCTCTCTGTCTCTCTCTCTATGTAGAGAGAGAGACTTGTGAGCCCTCACTTCTCCCCAGCTCGGTCTGACGACTGCAGCAAATCATTTGCAGATGGGAGGTCAACAAGTTCACATGAGCAGACTGTGTTGCCCAATTTGCGGACTGTTGCGCAACCTTTCACGTCACATCGGCTTCCAGTAGCAACGCAGCATTTCTCCGATTTTGTTTTCTACATTTGAATAAAGTTTGGAGGGATATTACACAAGAGCTTGAATATTTTAACATTAGTGCATTAAAAGTAACTAAAAGCTGAAACATGTGGCTCGAAAACAGATTTTTTAGAATATGTTTGGTTGCTGTTTACATGAGAACCTCAGCCCTGACATTTGCTCGCTTGTGTTTACTCTATCTCGCGGACAATTGAGGTGAATCACTGGTTTCTATTATCACAAAGAATAACATGGCGTCTCCGGCGTTAGTCATCCCTGCGCCCCCGTGGGCTGATTTAGGGAAGAGACGGCTGCGCTCGTACGAGCGGCTGTGGCTCTGTGATGAGGACGGTCGTGTTTGTTTGCGTTTTGTTTGGTACATGTCTGTCAGTGTGTTTTATTTACCAAATGTTCTCATACCGGGGGAGGGCACGTGTGCGTTTAGTGAGGTGGAAATGTTGGACCAGCTGTTCCCCTTTTGAAGAGACACAATGAGTGCGCTCCATTTCACCTAACATGCTACTTCATTTTCCTTTTCCTCTCTCCTTTCTCTTTTTCCCTTTTTTCTTTATGATTTGAATGAGTTTACTGTAGCGCTGTCATCTTGTCATCACAAACCTGCAGATCCACTCTCTACAACAACTGCAGCCACGGCCCCCTTTATAAAAATTAAATAACCTACTTTTGTAGAACAGCTGTAAAGGCAGAGAGTTGATTGCCTCACACACTGTGTACATGTCTGTATGCTTCATATATCTTTGCTGACTAAGGCGTAATAGTGGAGTGGATTCCCAGCAAATGCACAGAGCTCTGCCATATTACTGACACAGGTGACCTTGTGCCAATGACGATGTGTTTCTTTGTTTCCATAATGAAAGCTCTTACAGAATGAATGATAACTGTGCTAACTGTGTGTGTGCATCCTCTGTTTGACCCGCAGGCTCTCAACGGTTTTGTCCTGGTCCTCACAGCCAGTGGCACCATCTTCTTCTCCTCTCACACCATCCAGGACTACTTGGGCTTCCACCAGGTATCGTATCACAACCAGTGTTTTTCTGTTTCCTGTTGCCTCCAGTAACCGTCCGAACATTCTCCACAACAGTGATAACATAATCACAATTAGCAAGAGAAACAGCGAAGGGTTAATGGGAAACCTCCTGTCGTCCTATTGTGGTGAAGGTACAGAAGTCTGACACAGAAATAGCCGCTGTGTCTGGATCACAAGAGCTCATACAAGTTCAGGTTCATACAGGTTCAGCTCCTGTAATCAGTGTTAGAACAGGGCTACTGCTAGCTTGGCTACCTTGTCACATGCACATAATCATGTCTGCATATAATCATCACTCTAGAGATTAATTAACATTTACAAAATCAGAGAGCTGGGTGATTGTTCCAGCATCTTTAACATTTTAACCCGTTAGTTTAGCATCTAACCTCGCCATGATTTAACTCCTGTATTTTGTGGAGCATGGGTCGACACAGAGAGGTGCAAATCCACAGAGGCAGGTACGTTATCGTATTAAACATCTTAGAAGCTCTGTGTCTGCGGTCGATAGCGGGGTCTCGATGGACGGCTTGCGTGCAACATCTGCTGGGAGCAGCTCGGGGGTCTTGCTCGATCCATTGGTCTACTCCCTGCATGGTGCAGAGTCAGAGGCTCAAAACAGCAGCAAAAAAAAGACCTGACCTATTTATAGCTTGGCCTTTTGTAGAAACCACTAGTCGCAGGAGTGAGCTGCTTTGAGCAACACATCTCTGCCCTGCAGCTCAGCTGAGCAGCACACACGGAGCCTCGGCTGAGTGCACCTTTCCTGACTTTCGGTAGCCATCCAAAAAGGGAACTTTGCTTTTGAACGCAATGTTTTGGAGAGACTTTCCTCATGCAAACTGCTGGAGCCACATGTGACAGCTGCTACTAATACTGACACGGCTGCTGTACTAACCTACCACTAAAATAGCACTACCTCTGCAGGAGCATTAGAGTAGCACACCGAGTTAGCTAGTAGCTCCTCTCTAGCAACTACCCAGAATATCCATAACGTGCAACACAATGAGAACATTCAGAAAAACCCTTATAACCATCTAATAATGCCTTAGTGAGTATTTAGCAACCACCTGAACATTAACCACCTAGAAACACTGTGTCAACCACTGAACAGCTCTTCACTACAAACCCCACAGCAACTCCTGGCAGCTACATCGAACATGCTAACATTGACCTGCCAAGACAACGAGCAACTTAAGTGAAGTTTGACAGCAGATATCCAGAGAAGTTTGAACCTTTTTGTAGTTTTTATTCATCATTTAAAGAAACAGTCACATTGGACACAAACTACTGGATATGACATAAGGCTTAAGCTACATCCACGCTCATGAATTTTCTTTTTGAAACGGCGCTTTAAAACAAACCGATCTTCGTCCAGTCGAGCGTTTTAGCTCCGTAGCAGAAATGATCTCCGTCCATACTGACACACCGGAAAACTCATATCACATGACCATTCATGAACACCGGGCGTTTTAGGGTAGTGAATGTGGCGTAAACACAACAGAAGTGATGCATTTTAAAACTAAAACAAATCATTGTTGATGTCGCCTTAGAGTGTTTTCACATAAAGGAAAAAAGGAGTTGAATATTGAAGTAATTTAATATAAACCCATTTGTTTGTCATTATCTTGAAAGCCACTTTGCAGCAAGTGTTGGCTGTAAAAGATTTAATCAGCTCATTGATAGCGACATGAGAAAAGATTAATTTCCCCTGCAGGGGCATCGCTGTAAAGAGATGCATAATTATTTAATAAAACGTAAGTCTGGTCACTGGGATAATATGATTCATATTTTTATTATGGATTTGTTGCTTTTGGATTATTAATATCAGGTACATAATGACTGACCTTTGTAAACAATGATGACTCCCATTTCTTTTTCAGGTGTATAATTTTACCTATAAACCTGTGTCTCTATGTCATGGGCTGATTCTCCGTCTCTTTTCTCCTCTCAGACGGACGTCATGCACCAGAGTGTGTATGAGCTGGTCCACACAGAGGACCAGCAGGAGCTCAGGAGAAACTTGCACTGGGCTCTGAATCCTCCTGCCGCTGCGTCTGCCGTTACCCAGGACTCCCCCCAAGGTGATCCCTCCTCCCTCCCTACGTGAGCCTTTCATTACGACCACAACAGAACCGTGAGGTCCTGTTTGGACTGGATACTCTGGTCTGAAGTGGAAACAACACACCAAATCAAGGAGTTGTCACTTAAAGGTTGAACAGTATTTGACTTGAGCTTGAACAGTGTTTCTGAATTTGATTATTTTATGCAAATAAATCAGAAACATTTGCATAGAAACATCTAACCCTGACCATGTGAAGAAACACTGTGCAGACTGGGAACTGCAAGCTGTTGGAGGTCATGCACATTTTATTTGCATATGCACAGACACTATATTGCACTGCAGCCTGGAAGCTGGTTTGACCTTACATGCACTCTGAACAGGTGTCCAGGTTTTCGTCCAATCAAAAACGTCTTTCAGTAAAACTTCCTGTGCTTCTAAAAACACAGAGTTTAAATAATTAATAGGAAGATTTGAATCTTCTTTCTGCAGTTTCATCCCAAAAATCTGTAGCACTGCTGAATGTGCTGCACTCTTCTGCAGCCCTCAGTGTGTGTGCACGTGCGCGTGTGTGTGTGAGAGAGAGAGAGAGAGAGTGTGTGTGTGTGTGAGAGAGAGAGAGAGAGTGTGTGAGAGAGAGAGAGAGAGTGTGTGTGTGTGTGTGAGAGAGAGAGAGAGAGAGTGTGTGTGAGAGAGAGAGAGAGAGAGAGAGTGTGAGCAAACACATTTGGACATCAATATCAGAGGGTTAAGTACACACAGTTGAGGCATTAAACTGTAAGACCATCCTCAGGTCAGGTCACATGACCCTGTAATCTTCACTGTGGCTTATGAGGTGAACTGGTCCCAGATCTGTATTTGGGTTTTAAGATGCTTATGTCTGTGTGCTTTGGTTCTGAGCAATGTGTTTAGGTTAAGACCCACAGCCCCTGACAGAGCTCACCCGCTCCTGCACCGACCCCCCACCCCACCCCACCCCCACCCCCGTAGCTACAACAAATGCAGTCACTTGGTGTGTTAGGTCAGATCTAGCTCAAGGCATCATTACATAAGTGTATTTTCTACAGTGGACGGCAGCTGATGATATGAGACAACATTAAAGCATAAGCATAAATACGGACGGCAGCTTGAAGCCAGGTCAATGTCACAGTTATGACATCATGAAGGTATAACAACAGACAATAAATCAGGAAACACTGCTTCACTGTGGAACATGAAGATTACACTGTAGAGGAGCTCAGTGCATATTCAAACAAATATTAATAAAGATACCGTTAAACTTACTTAAGTTCTGTAATATGAGACCATGATGTGTAATATATGAACTGGAGGAATCTGATTCCACATGCGACCTGGAGGAGCCGGGGATCGAACCACCAACCTTCTGATTAGTGGACAACCTGCTGTTGCAGCTATAGACTGATACAAAGATGTGTTTTTCTGAGTGAATTAAAAATGTTATAGTTTTTTTTTTTATGGCTTTAGTTTTATTACAACCAACAAATATATCAACTACACACACACACACACACAAATGTCCAGTAAACATCCACAGTACCACTGTCACATGAAGAATCATAGTCCTTGTAGAATAAACATATAAAATATTGTCCATAAATATAATTAAATTGTTACTTCTGCTGCAGTTTTAACACCAGATTCTCACATTAAAACTGCATATACTGAATAATCATTGTGGCTCATATTTTGTTTCCCACAGATATGGAACCTGACAGCAGCTCCGCTCTGGTCACCTACAACCCCGAACAGCTTCCCCCTGAAAACTCGTCCTTCCTGGAGAGGAGCTTCGTGTGTCGTTTCCGCTGCCTGCTGGACAACTCCTCCGGCTTTCTGGTAGGTCACGCGTCACACAGCGACTGAGAGAAAACTTGGATTTGTCTCAATGAGACGCGTCGCTTTGTAGATCACAGAAAATACTACTACAGTCAGTCATTTAACGGTTTTAAGAGACATGAAGAAGAACATGGTCTTTTTAAATGCTTCAAAGGTTTAAAAAATAGCTTCAGGCTGAGAGAAGGATTGAGTGTGAATCAGTATTTTTAGTGACATTTTGGTAAAAAAACAAAAAAAAGCCAAGTGTTGTGGGCGTAGTGAGCATATGGATGGACAGCAGAGAACTGGATTAAGCTGAAGGCCATGGGTGTCACAGACTTACAGTAGAGTAGTCAAACCAATCTGACACAGGCAAAGGGGATGGGGGATATTTTCCTAAAACACACTCCAGTGATACCCGAGGACGGACACGCCAGTCAGAGTAACGCCTTGCTATGATGAGCGCCTACTTTGTATTATTTTGTGCAAGTGAATGAATGGGCCTTTCAGATATTTGCACATTTGAAAAACGGTTCTAAACTGCTTTCCAGGCGTTGAACATCCAGGGCCGGCTCAAGTTCCTGCACGGACAGAACCAGCGGCAAGAGAACGGAGGGAAGGCGCCGCCGCAGCTCGCCCTCTTTGCCATCGCCACTCCTCTGCAGCCTCCGTCCATCCTGGAGATCAGGACCAAGAACATGATCTTCAGAACCAAACACAAGCTGGACTTCACACCCTTGGCCTGCGATGCAAAGTAATGAAACTTCTGTTTTACTGTTTACTGACACTTGGCTCGTTGAGATGGTTGTTTTTGGGAGGCTAAAGCAGTAACATCAGAACTTAATGTTACATCCTATGAAGTTGTTCACTAGTTCAGTCATATATGATCAATGATGAGTAACTTATTGTCTTTTTGCACAGGGGGAAGATAGTTTTGGGGTACACAGAGGCTGAGCTGCGCGTACGAGGATCCGGCTACCAGTTCATCCATGCAGCAGATATGTTGTACTGTGCAGAGAACCATGTCAGAAGTAAGTTGTGTCACCGCGCCAACCAAGCTATAAAACCCTTCTTCAACATATATTTAGGCAGAATTTGATGCCAGGAAAATGTTTTTTTATTGACGTCATTCATTTTGTGCTATTCAGTCTTTAACTTCACTGCCGCTTCCAGGTCGACTGGTCAGCATCAGCTCAGTGAAAATAAATGACAAAAAGCTCCAAACAGATTGATGAGAGGGTCATTCACCATATCTTTAAAGTATTTTTTTGGGGGGGGGGGTATTTTATTTTTATTAGACAGGAGCTGACAAGAAACAATGGGGAAACATTTAAGGAAACTTTATTGGGTAACAATTAAAAAAAAACTCAAAGATATCAAAGGATGCACAGTGTGCTGAAGTGAAACTACTCTCAAAGACACACAAGTAGCAGTTTATCAGATTTTATACGATTCTGAAAAGAGCATAATCCTCTATACTGCTGTCTTGACAATTAAGCTGGCTGCATGTTAACACAGGGTTAAGGTTGCATAAAAGAGGTGGTTGTTATGAGGTCTGAAGCTGTTTTCTAATGTAATAAGAAATGGTTAGTCTTTGGTGTTTATATGACAGAGCCATGTTGCTATTTTAGATTCAGTCCTGCCAAAAAAAAAAAAAAAAAAAAAGTTGAAGAGGTCCAGTTGAACCTGGTCAGAGAGTTCAGACAGCTTTCACAAGTAATCCTGCTGGATTATGGAGCAGATTGAGCAAAGCTGCAGAGCTGCCAGAGGAGAGGATAGGGCCCACAAATCCACTGCATGAGCAAAACATCAGAGATGATCCATACAACAGTGACGACACACAAACACTTCAGAGCACAGATATGTTACCGACCACTCTCTCGTCACTGGAGCGCAAGGATCAGGGTTTGCCGATTATCTTTGTATTCATTTTTGTCTTTAACACCTCGCATGCTTGGTGTCCTCTTCCCAGCACAGACTCTCTGATCTCTTCCATTCAGCCTGACTTTATATCATGTTAGAGTCGGGTTTGTGGCTTTACTCACCTTCCAAATTTACTTTTCATCCTTCTCAAAATTGTACAAAAGGATGACTGCACGGAGCACCAGGTTTATGGATTCTGACATAGGGCTAAAGGGAAGACACAAAGTAAGCAAAGTTGGGGAGGGTGGCTTTGCCCCGTCACATGGACACATTTTGGGACAAGGTCCCTTTTTTACAACCCTTAAGGTGCACTTCTCCAGACTGTGCACTAAACACGGTGGCACCCATGTCCTCTGTTGGACATTCCCCACCAGCCTGAGACGTCGATTGGCCTGAAGCCACATGACCACAGGCCAAACTTATCTTTGAAGAAGCCCCATAGGCAGAGATGTGTATGTCCACATATGATAAACTGTTTTATATTTTTTCTTCTCATACCTGTCTTAATTACATGTTACTTGTGATATGTTTTGTGATGACCCTGATGAAGGCCACAAGCTGAAATGTGTTGGTCTAATAAAGTTCTGGAGTGTTGCTGGCGGCTTAAGGCATTTTTTTATATCAAGATGATCTTGTGTAAGTCCCCATGATCCAAGCAGTGAGTAATTTGTAATATAAAGCAGTGGAAGCACATTACTGAAAATATTTGTAATAACTAATAACTCCTGAGAGGATGTCAGTCAGTTGGGTCGTCAATCAAACACTTTGGTTCATGTTCATCCAAAGGTTCCTCAAGGTTCCTGTTGATACTCATGGTTCCTAGAGATGACTGCTAATGTTTCTGGTGACCTTAACTCGCCATCAGCAACTAGTACAACAATTAGTACAAGCACACACAACACAACAAACACAATAGACGAAGCACACAGTACAATTACACAAGTTGACAAAGAGACTTCCAGGAGCAAGGTATCGAAAAATAAACAGGCGAGATAGGAAACTGCCCCCGTCTGCCAGGAGAATCATACATGACAAAACTAGTGCAAAACAGAACTGAACAAGAAAACAGACGTAAATAAGACAAAAGAACATGGGTGGAGGAGCCAGACTCAGTATATCAGTATAGTATACGGATGAAGACAGAGATTACACAGACTAGTAGTTGGGTCTCATCGAGCATTGTCAAAAATGGCTTCCACACCTTCTGGAAAAACCTTTGTGAGTGCCATTTGCTATAACAAATCTGTTCCATCCTAGCAATAGAAAGCATCTTGTTGAGCCACCTCTTGAAATGTCGGGGCGATGGAGACTTCCAGTTTAGTAATATTAAGGACTCCAGCGTTGTACCTGTATTCTATTAAGGTTCTAGGACTAGAATCCAGAGAGAGCTTCACTCATTAATGTTAAGTCTCTCTTTTTTTACTTTGGTATGAAATGCCATCAACATACTCAGTTGTATAGTTTGGACACTTAAATAACGCAACCTTTTGGGATTTACAGCCATTGAGTTTCTACCCCTCTACCAACAGCTCTTGGCTCTGTCCTTGCTGAAATGAAAAAGTGCTTTTGGCAATGTTAATTTTCTTACAAAGTTCATTCATTATAACTGTGTTTGTGCTCCATATTGTGTAGTGATGAAGACTGGAGAGAGTGGTCTGACTGTGTTCAGGCTCCTCACCAAGGAGAATCGCTGGAAATGGGTCCAGGCCAACGCCAGGCTGGTGTACAAGAATGGCAAACCAGACTACATCATCGCCACCCAGAGGCCTCTTTTGTATGTTCCTATGATCCCTTGATTTATGCAAAGATTTTAAGAGTTTATCCCAAGAGGGAAGCATGCTTTCAGTTATGTGACGACACATTTTTAAACATGTGTGACACCTATAAACACCCTCAATCATGGGAAAGTGGGTAAGAACCAAACACAAGCAGGAAACGTTGATACCGTGGTGAGGTCTCCAGATGATAATCATGTGTTCTGTCATTGTAGGGATGAAGAGGGAGGAGAACACTTGCGCAAGCGCTCCATGCATCTACCCTTTACCTACGCTACAGGTGAGGCTCTGCTCTACCAGTCCAACCATCCCATTGCAGGCTTTAGAGATGGAAGCCTGGAGAAAAACGGCAGCAAGTCGAAGAAGAGCCGGACTGACAGGCTGGTGAGGGATGGTCTGGACCCTGGCTCCCTCCTGGGGGCGTTAATGAGTCAGGATGAGTCGGTGTACGTTTGCCAGCCCGCCCTGGAGCCCAAAATGTCCTTCCACAGCAGCTTCTTTGGAGAGCAGATGGGTTTCTCTGACTCCGAACCACCCTCCAGCTTGCACAGAAGCTGGGACGAGCCAAGCAACGGCATGGTGGGTCCAGGCATCACAGAGCCAAACACAAGCTTCGACCCACTGCTTGCCACTCTGGACTCCCTCTCCTTGGAAAGCCAAGGTGTTGTGGACGCAGACGAGGGCGGGTGTTCAAACGGTGAGCTGTTCGGAGCTCTGGAGGGGTTGGGGCTGAGTGCTGAGGACCTGGAGCTGCTGTTGCTGGATGAGCGGATGATCAGAGTTGAGATGGACCCTGAACGCGTGCCCACTTTGGACGACCTGCTGACGAACGACGAGATCCTTTCATATATCTACGATTCCATAGAGGGAAAGACTGATTCCGCAGAGCACGGAGGACAGGTGCCTCCTAGTACGTCCTCAGCGACAGCCACAACACTGTCAATACCTGAAAGTAATCCCACCTCTGACGCTAATGTGCAAATGCAGTTTCCTCACCATAAGCCTCCCCTGGTGGGGCAGGCTCCCATCGTCCAGCTGTCCCAGCAGATGCAACAGCACCTCAACATGCGAACAGGTAAAGTAGCGCATGACTGGGGTCAACAGAGCGACCACTTGGCGAACACGATAGTCAACGGAGAGCTGCTGGGGCAAAATCAATCTATTCCCAACGGACAGTGGACTGCCCAAGACATTCTCACCAGTGCAGGGATACAACTAGACCCCTTTAACAAACAACAGACTATTTTCAATGGCAAGGCCTCAGAGCTGGATGGCGAGCTCCATCAGCAGCAGACACATCAACGCTACCTTCAGCAGAAGCAACCGAGGATGCAGAACCAGGTCTCGCAGCAGTGCCATGCCAAACAGAAGGCGGCCAACCTCAACGGACTGTGCGGCATCTCCAGCACGGAGCATTCAGCCGGGAAATCCCAGTGGCAGGACTTCGGATTCAGTGAGAGTCTGGGCAGCAACCCCTGCCTTGATAACAGCCAAAAACCTCTTACAAACACCTCACTAGATTCTTGCATGGATTATAGTATGCCTGACATTGACAATGCAGATTACACTATCAGCGGAAGTGGTTTGCTCGGGCGTAGCGGGCAGCAGCACGGGGCCGAGTCCATGGTCTCATCCTTTCAGGGGATGAACCACAAACGGCAGCAGGAGCAAATCCCGGTTCCTTTGGCCCAGGTCATCTCCAGCTTGTCGCAGTGCCCGCCCCCCAATGCCTCCCTGGAGCAGATCCTGGGAGTGGGCAAGCCCTGCCGGCAGCTGGATCACTACGGCATGGTGACCTCGGAGATGCCTCATGAGCCTAATCATAGTAAGGTGAGGTCACTGAAACACTGACACGCTGTTATGACAATGAAATCACAGCTAGCTAAAACAGTTTGAGTTTGGGTGTTCAGTATGTATACTTAATGCCTTTACGGAGCTTTCAACTGCATCCTCATGGTCTTCACCACTGGGGAAATGGTTCTTTGCAAAAAACAAACGTTATTATCAACATGTGTTTAAATTCTTTTCCTCTTTTTAAAGTTCAATACTTTGGTCTAGATCTGCAAAAATTAGTCGATTAATCAGTCTAAAGAAAACTATTTTGATGCTCAGTTACTTGTTTAAGTCATTTTTCAAAAAAAAAATCCCAAATGTTTGTTATTTCTAGGTAGTCAAAAGTGATATTTTACTGCATTTCTGGGTCTAACATTATATTAAAATGAATATTGTGGGTTTTTTGGCCGTTGGTTGGACAAAACGAGATATTCTGATGACGATATTCTGATGGGCATTTTTCAAAGTTTTCTGATGTTGTACAGATTTTTATCGACGAATTGAGAAAATCATACAGAGTAATAATCATGAGTTGCAGCCTTACTTTGGTCGTCAGTGTATTACAGTGATCCCCAGAGGACGCCTTCTAGTC